CCAATTTTGGTCACATCGGCCATTCTTGCAAAATGGGGTCATTTTCGCAAAAGTGGTTCAATGACCCATGTCTTAGGATCTTGAGTCCACAAATAAGTGTCATATTACTTTAAGGTCCGTCCTTTTTGAGTTTGCATCTTTAGCCACTTCTGGCTATATCGACCGTTTTTGCAAAAGGGGTCATTTCTGCAAATTAATTTTGGGCCATGATTATTGGGAGTCTGAATCCATATAGTATTTCCATATCTGAGTAGTCACCCTTGTTGAGTTTGCACTTCTAGCTACTCTTGGCCACGTAGGTAAATTTTCAAAAATAGCCCAATCGTGTCTTGCATGTGTCCAATATGAGGTGTTGTGGTGTCGCATAGTGTCTTGAGTCACTGATCTATTTGGTCTTATTTTTCTCATTCAGGTATGGATCCATATACCAGGACTCGAGCATGACAGATATCCCAGGACCACTGCATTCAGGAGCTGCTCAAGGAGCCTTTTTTGTGTTCTGAGTCTGTTTTTATGTTTGTCTTTCACTTTGTAGTTTTGTCCAGTAGTACTGCGTCTTTTAGGTGATGTCAGAGACTATCATAGTCTAGTTGAGTTCGTCGAGTCTTCATTATCGTACTTCCTGTTTTGTATTTGAAAAACCAAAAAAAATTATTAATGAAAAATCCAAAAAGATTTTTGTTTCTTAGTTTATTTTGTCCATTATTTTTCCAGAACTACGCTTGATCTGGTTCATGAGGGACATGATACGTAGGCAACCTACATAGGGTTCGATCGAATCATCATTAAATAAATATAAAAAACAAAAAAAAGAGAATGAAGTTGTGGGACGTGAGAAATGAGAGGAAAGAAAAGAGCGATAAGCAAAAAGAAAAGAGGGGGAAGGAAATGAAAAACCAAGCGGTGCTAGAAAGGAAAATAAAGAAGAAAACGGGACAAGAAGAGTAAAACTGGGATGATGCCATATGACCTTCGTACCCTCGAAGTCATTTTAGAACCAATAATTGTGACTAGGTGCATTGCACATAATGTGAGATTATTTTATGTTAAATGCCCTAATGCTAACATGATGACTTCATTTTGTTCCTCTTTGTTATCTTCATTATAGCAGAAGGTTGGTTGGTTTGTGGTTCTTAAAGTGGTAACTCTTCTCTACAACATAAAGTCGAAAGGAAATGGTAGATGACAACAGAATTGAGTTGGTTGATACTGGTGCCCAAAAGCAATTGGTTGAACAGGACAATGGGTTGGTTGAAGAGGTAAGAATGTTAAGACAACACATGGCGGACATGTATCGGGCTTGGGTGACTGGGAAGGCACCACCCCCACCACCACATAGCTTCCTAGATGCTACCTTACCCAAACTCCGGTCATAGTGCCAGATGATCCCCCATACTCTCCAGATTCTTCCGCTTATCACAGCTTTCCCAACCACCCTAGTAGCTCCATCACTCGTCCTCCAACTACCTTTCCCAAAAATTACCCTCATGTCATATCCACTATCCCCACGATCACAACTTCTCAACAATCTTTCCTTCATAGATCCAACAATGAACACCCACTCAAAACTCATGATGCCCAATATTACCCCTCAGAGGTCGCCCACAAGGTCCCTGACTCATACAATCATAGCTTTCAAAATGAACCTCATGTTGAAAATGAAAAGTTCACAGAAAAAGAAGGGCGAGATGAGATATCCAGGAAGCTGAAAGGTATAGAACAGTCCTTAAAGAGCATGCAAGGGATGGGAAATCAGATTAACGTGTCTTAAAAATGACTTGTGTATGTTCCCTGATGTTCATATGCCCACGGGATTTAAAATGCCAAAGTTTAACTTGTATGATGGGCGTGGAGATCCAGTAGCCCATCTGAGGGGTTACTGCAGTGAAATGAGAAATGTTGGAGGGAAAGATGAATTGTTGAGAAATTTTGCTATTGGTTAATTCTAATACATACAGTAAGGATCTAGCCTGCCTAGCCCCCCCCCCCCCCCCCCACCCTTAAATGTAGCTTTGTGTCACGCCCCAAACTCGGGGCGCGACCGACGTCCAACCGAGTGAACCCGGCCGAGCAAGTATGTTAGATACTTTCTACCCAAACTCACTCATGAACACAGAAAAGACATATTTTCATTAATTAGACAATTGGGAGATAATATATATATAATACCAAATAATTTCCATTAGTTACTTCATTTTTAATGTCTCAAAATACACACACTTTCATTGTCTGAAGTGGAACAAGTGATTCAAACATAACATGAATTGTTTGACTTTCCCCAACACCGACATACAACCCACACTATGTCTACGGAGCCTCTAATAGATACAAAGGAGTACAATGATAATGCCGGCAACAAGGCTCCGGCTATACCTCAAAACATGATAACATAATGAACAAAAGGTACATGACCCCAGAATGAGGTGGGGCTCACCAAGTCTACTGGGACGAGGGTGTACTGCTATCACTGATCAATGTTGCCTGCGGAACTACCTGCATCCATTAAAGATGCAGCGCCCCCAGCAAAACGGACATTAGTACTGTCGAATAGTACTGGTATGTATAACTAAATACCATCTCAATAGAATGAATAATAATACAAGGGGGAACAATCATGAAATCAATAGAAGTCTCAAACATTACCAGAACATCAAGTTAAGAGCCACATAAGTTTTCAGGTAAATTTCCATGTTTTTAGGTTGGGAGATCTTTAGTACCAATATACCATCGCAATACCTCCGTATTTTTACACGGACTCCGATCACAACCTGATCGGCTAGGCCGCCTCACTTGAGACATCAACCATCGTCACAATTTCAATTACAATTTTCCAGCACAATGGTGCGGCATGGCATCTGATCACGGCCCGATCGGCTAGGCCGTCTCACCCGAGACATTACCCTTTTCTATCAATCATTTCACTTCATACATATTTTACATCTTTTCAATTCATTGGCATTAGTGGCCACAATTATAACATCATACTTGGCACTTGGTCGTATTTCATATTTCATGCTCCCCTTTTCATTTTCAAGCATCATCATTATTATCAACAACAAGAGTTTTCAATTCAAGACTTTAGATACACATGTGAGCAATTAAGAGTCTTAGACATATAGAGATTTTTCACATAATTTGGCATGATAACGTTTATTCAAACTTGACTTGAAGTCGCAACATTTATAACACACATCTCATACTTTGAACATATCCTCAAATGATAACATAGCATGATAAAGCATTTGGAATACATATTGAACATATATCTTTCAACACAAGTTTACTCGGAATAGCCGATTTCATAATGATCAACTCGGTCTTACATAACTTACATGAACACCGTACAATTCTAAGAAAATGGGTTTAGCCAACATACCTCAATTGAGCTTCCTTAAATTCTAAAATGTTCCGGAATTCTTAGCAACTTCAATCTATTTTAGAAATATAACAAATTGAACTAAAATTAGGAAGATGATCATGATTCTAGCTCATTTGAGCATTATCAATCACTAGGAGGATTCCATCATCCCACAACCCAGTCTTTACCATTTTTAGCTCATAGCCTTCCTACACCCTTTGATAACACATGCATGCAAAATAAATAACTCTCATGCCCAAGAATTGACTTGCTTATTACCCATTTTTAGTTAAATTTTCGAAATTAAGAGCTAGGGTGTAGAATCTTACCTCTAGGATGAAGACTTAGTGAGTTTTCCTTGATAATCTTCAAAGATTTGAGCAAGAATTGAAGGATAATTTGTTGAAGATCACTCTCCCAGTCTAAGGCACTCTCTCACTCTAAAAGTAGCAGATTTTGCTCAAAAATGGTCTATTGAATCTATTTTAACGAAGTAGGGTCGGGTTATAAAAACCCAAAAATGAAGCTCCAGAACAGGATCTGCGGTCGCATATGCGACCGCATAATGCTTCTGCGGTCTGCAAAATGGGCCGCAAGATGGCCCTCCGGAACTGGGCAGGTCTGCTCCACTCTGTGGCCATTATGCGGTCCGCATACCTGTTCTGCGGCCGCATAATGCACCGCAGAACCTCCCTCTGAAAAAAAATTCATGCTGAATCTGTGATCAGTGTGCGGCCCGCGAAATCGTTGTGCGGCCGCATAATGGACCGCGAATTGGTCCACAATTTTTGCTCAAGATTCTACATCACTCTGCGGCCCGCAGAGTGATTCTGCGGCCGCATAGTGAGCCGCAGAAACGCCTTCTTCTGCCAACATTTTCCTTTAACTCCTCAGCGCAATGTTCAACCCAAAACTACAATCTTTAACACATAAGCCTATCCTGACACCACGAAATTCCGGGTTTTTAGGTAAAATTTTACGAGGCCTTACACTTTGATTTAAAGAAGTTCTTTTGTTTGGGGAGGGGGATGGTCTAATTTACTAGTGGCAAGGACGTTCTTGATAATTAACAAGGGGATGGAGGATCTCCACTCATTTCATTCATCCAGTACCTACAGGTGAGGCGCGACTCACAACAAACGAAGGAGGAAAACTTGTTTTACTTGCTGTAGCCTTTTAATTAAGATTAGACTTTGATAAATGTAAGCTATATTTAAATAGGCTCACAGTTTTGCTCAGCAGAAAACTCAAGCTATCAATTTACATACTTTTATTTACTTAATCATGTCTTTAAAAAAACCTCAACAAAATAATCTCATAACTTTGGGAGAAAGGGCTACTCTTCAGTCTTCACTAAGATAGCACATGTATAAGGGTGGAGGGAGAGTAGAAGCTACGCTAAACCCAATAGCCTTGGTGCAAATCATGTATTTGTCTTAAGAATTTTTTTAGATATGTACAAATAATAATTTAGAACCAATAACTTAAAAAATTTAGAATCCTAAATTCATAAGCTTCAATCCCGACTCCGCATCTGCATGTACAGGAGGGTGGCCAAGTTTTGAGCAGACTTGAACTGGCTCCTGTTTAGTAAGAATTTGAGTATTTGACTACCAAAGGCAAGACAACAAACGCGAATTTGTAATGGAAAGCATCTCCTTCTATAAAAACTGAGGAAGATAACACTTGTACAACTGTTACAATGATACATCAGACATTTTTGCAAGTCAATTTTTTCCTTGTATGTTTTTTCAGGTCTTACCCTCGTTCCATCGCTTATTCTCATGGGAGTAGAAGCCTCAACCCAAGAAAATCAAATAAATAACTTAATGAATGGGACTGGTGATCTTCCACCTTTCCCTCACCCCACCCTTTCTTTCTCTAAGCCATGCTAAATGTCATCAAATGCTTAGTAAAAGAACCAAGAAAGAAAAGCCAAACAAACTAGGAAAAAAAAGAACAATAAGCATTCAACTGTCATATAGCGGACCCCAACTTGTCTGGGATTGTGGCTTAGTTGTTGTTGTAAGCAGTCAACTGCCAATGGTATTAGTCGATATGGGTGGCGACCGCGACAGCTGGTGATGAATTTGAGACTCCGCTTGCGCCTGGGGCTGTTTTTGCTGCTCAGCATATCTGTTCAGTCTTTCAAGCAATTGGGTTGCCTTCCTTCTACCCCTTTCTGTGCCATTTTGTACTAAATCCATCAAAGGACCCATCAAACCTAGTTGCTGCGCTTCGACTAGATGATGTTGGTCCCCAGAGCAGAGGTGTACTAAAACTGCAGCTGCATTTTCTTTGTTTCTTGGAGACCCATTTGAGATAACATCCACCAAAACAGGAACTGCTTCTGCAGCTCCGATAGCTGCCTTCCCTTCTGGGTGACTTGACAAGATTGCTAAAATAGCAAGTGCTTCATCAACCATACCACCTTGTGGTTCCGTGAGCAGCCGCATTAGTGTAGGTACAACTCCAGCCCTTATTGCCTTGCCCTTGTTCCCTTGATAAATGCACAGATTGAAAAGCGCTGTAGCAGCGTCTTTCTTTCCCCTTTGGGTACCTTCACTTAATAATGCTACTAGTGGAGGAATTGCTCCAGAAGACCCAATGGTAACCTTATTTTCATCTATAACTGAAAGGCTGAATAGGGTGGCTGCTGCATTTTCGCGGGCTTCCATGCTCCCCTTCTTCAGCACATGCACAATACCAGGCACTGCCCCTGAAGTTACGATGTTTCCTTTATTGTGCTCACATATGGAAAGGTTAAGAAGTGCTGTAACAGCATGCTCTTGGGTCCGAGAATCAGGTGTGGATAGAAGGTGGACCAGCAGAGGAATGGCACCCGCTTCAGCGATTGCAACACGATTATCAGCATTACGTTTCGCAAGAAGGCGGATTTCACCTGCAGCAGAGCGTTCCTCTTCAGGGCTGCCAGATTTGAGCTTTCTCAGGAGATTTTCAATCTTCGAGCGCTCGGCAGGGGTGCATGCGGATGCTGATTTATTGGGTCGAGAACTACCTGGTCTTTTGGGTGGTTCAATCCCATTTGCTTCACACCACTGTGCTATAAGGCTACGCAGCACGTAGTTGGGTGTCAGAGCTTTGCTTGTGAGAGCTTGTTGGGTCTTGGGACAAGTGCTATGCCCATCTTCCAGCCACTTCTCAATACAAGAACGTTCATAGGTCTGCGGTGAAGTAAAATATTAACCTGTTAAAAATGATAATATGGAAATGACAACTCCATCCTACATGAAGCATGTCTAGAGGAAATGACATCTTCAAAGAGCAAGCAACCAATAAGCCACAAGGTATTAATAACTACATATCATTGCGTATACAGAAAATCAGCATGGATTGTAACAAAAATCATTTGGGATCTTTAGCACAATGTCTTGTTTCCATTTGATGATAGTTTGTGTATACAATATCAGTATTTATGAATCAACTGATTAATATGTAACTTGTTCCTCATGGTAATCTAAACAATTTCAAAAAGCTTCACGAGAAAAAGCAGTCAACTCTAGCTGATGTGATAGTCTTTAAAGACATTTCTGAAGAAGTGCATTTCAGATATTGGGGTGTAATAGAAACGAGAGAATAGAAATCTGCAGCATCCTTGGGTGAAATTATAGGTTTGACTGACAACTAATAAATACACACAACCACCAAAGCAAGACATTAGTTATATGTCCTCATAAATGTAGGAATGGAAGGGAAGAATCTGGTAATAACATGTTTTCTGTAATGAAAGAGTAATAAAAAATAGTTTCAACTGATCTTTTACATCAATATGTTAAAAGGACCCAGTATCAATACCTGCCCAGTTGAAACAATGACGGGATCTCTCATCAACTCCAGGGATATAGGGCAACGAAAATCATCTGGTATAACTGGGGCCTTCTGGCTCCCGTCTTCAGATGCTTGTCCACTAAACATTGAAGACTTTTCCCTTGCAGAAGAATCAATGTTTGGGTTCTCAGTCAGTACGAAGTCCTTAATTTTCTTCAGTAGCATTGACATCTTTTCTATTCTCTCCTCGGGATCCCCATCTGTGGCAATGACCATTTCATGCAAAGCTAGTGATTCTTGTTTAAGGTCATCTAATTCAGTCAGCTGTAGCTTATCGACTAACCGCCTAAGGACAGCGTGATCTACCACAGCATCATTACACTTGCTATAAAGAGAAAACAAATCTTCATGCAGTTCAACATCAGGTGTTTCAATCCTTCCCTTGGCTCTTCGGAACTGAGAAAGGACAAGTTCAACCTGGAAGCAGAAGAAGTTATAGATGGTACAGAACTGAAATGTGTTTCTGACCGTAGGCCATCTAACCCATCAAGCTATATTGCTACAAAAGATGAAAATATGTAGCGAACCCATTCACTTGTCTAGTTCCTTTGGACAAATGCTCTTGAGTACTTCGGAGAAAATTAATAGATTAATTATGCCAAATTAACACATGCTTGATGCATCCTTTGACAGTGAAAAATACTTTTTTTAAGAATAATTATTCATAACATAAGATCTTGTAATCATGAAATTTTAAAAACTAGTGACAGAATTACAGAAGAGAATGAGGTCCAGCACTTATGCTGCTTCTTCCAACCCCAAATAACCCCCCCC